TTACACAGTATTTAAGAAGGATATCTGACTTTAGTACTTGGCAATCAATTGAAATTATGCATAATAGTGAATCTCATGCATGTAAGAGGCCATTTATAAGAATAGTTACATGCATCTACATGTACATGTACAAAAGCACAGCTTGTTGTTACTGTTTAGCTAGTTATTTTTGTGGTGTTAAAATTTTCCAAAAAAGATTCCAATCATTATTTTTTACTTTTATGGAGAAGCATTAAAACCACTAGATGTAGGTGGTTTGGAATACAAGCAATATTTTGATAGTGACACTGTTCTATAATCCCCTTCTACTTGTATGTATTCACTACTTTCACTATTGATATTCTGGTTTACTGTCATTGCTACAACTCACATTGAGTTTCAATTCCAATACAATTGAGCAATCATTAAGTTTATGTCACAGTACATGTACTCATTGCTCTTGTGTTTTTCTAGGAAGTGTACTATGTACTGTCTACCATTGTCAATTGTGCTACTATCAAAACTTTATTTTGTTCTGGTGAGACCCGGCAGTCTAGTACCAGTTTAGAGGAGGGTCCTATTTGTACAGCAGTACTAAGCATAGGGTGTGAAAGGGCTACTATCAAAACTTTATTTTGTTCTGGTGAGACCGGCAGTCTAGCACCAGTTTAGAGGAGGGTCCTATTTGTACAGCAGTACTAAGCATAGGGTGTGAAAGGGCTACGCCTGTTTATGCAAGCTCGAATTCGATATGCATGTGCTAGTTTACACAAAATTGTCTTTTTGGAGATTCGTTAATAAGATAAGGACAGACTTATCAGTTTAAGGGTTTAGAGTTGTATTGAGCAGATCTGTATCTACTACTTTGTTGCCTTAAACTATGATTACTGGATCACACTGTACAGCTTAAAATTATTGTTTTTTGTTTGCGCTTTACTGTTGAAGAAAATGAAAACTAAATTAAATTGTTGTTAAAGCATTCCCTGACCCAGTGTTATGACTTACAAAATTTATGTAGCAAAATTAAAATTAATTTTTTGGGGAAAGTTTTTACCGCAAAATTACAGTAATTTTGATCCAAAAAATGTTATATCATTTCTTGAGTTTACAAACTGTTGCTATAAAAAGATGTACATGTACATTGTAATAAAGAAACAGTTAATAAGCATGTGTTGTTTACGTAAATCATAATTATGCACATGGCGTATCAGATGATGTACCTTTTATGTAGTCTCTCTATAATAGTAATACTCTAAAGACAGCATCATCTTTTGTTTTGTTACACTACAATATTATACAAGTGTGAACATTAATTGCCCATAAAAGCTCTCTTTCAGTATTATGAATTTACTCATTTTCATAATTTCATTTTATGTCAGCAGTTGCTTTTTCTATAATTATAAATAGTTATTGACTATGAGCTACATGTACATGTACCATACATGCAATTTAAATATTCAGTATTGATTGTATTCATGGTCATGTAAAAACAGTCAAATGGCTGTTGTTCACATTTGGCTTGAGCTAATGGAATTTTTTAGGTATGGCATTGTCTATTGTACACGTACATATCATGTACATATATGTGGGAAGTATCTAAAATAATTTTATAGTGCTTATGTATAATGGACAATACACTTCCTGGTTCTCCTTCCTGGACATGCCAGTAACCACTGGATGTATAGGACTTATCTGTCCCTGTTGTTACTAACTTTACATTGCTTTAATTGTTATCGTGTACTGTATAGCCAGAAATATTGGTGAGAGTTACATGTATATTTGGCAATTTGTTAAAACTTTTCCATTTATCGAATAAAATTTTAAAAAAGATGTTACTGTACATTAGAAATTACATTAATTAATGGCTGAACTTTAATAATGAGTGACTATACATGTACATATAGGTACAGTACATGTAAGTAGTCCTTTTATGTCTTCTTTAATAAATATTTTCATTAGAAATAATAATTACTGACTGGCTGTCTCCATTTGAATGGGCTACTGAAATGTAAGTGATTGTCATTAAATTTGTCTTGTTTTAGTTGCTTAGAACATTGTTTAGTACTCTGAGCATTGGCTTTATATCCTTTTAATGCTGTATAATTCAATTTCTTGTTTAGTCTTATGCATGTATGTATGTACATGCATGATTGGCTGTATTATGTGTAGTAGTAACTGGCAACAGTGTTCTTGAATGATAAATTATTTTTGAAATGTGTAGCAGCTTTTACTTTAAGATGTATATGTACATATATGTTTGTATAATTCATCATAATTACCAGAACTTCCCTTGAGGACTACAACTGGTGGTTATATGAGCAAGTTGTAATCCTCTTCTATGGTATGCACATTTGTATATTTAAGTGCAATTGTCTCAAAGGAAAGTGACAAAAGAAGTGGGAGTGAGAGAGAATTTCATATTAGTTTATACATGTATATGTATATCTAATTACATGTACTTTATCCCAGAGCTCATGAGTACTATTTGATAAAACTGATATTTTGTATAAACTGGTACACCTTTTTACATACCGATAAGAAGAAACTCCTCTAAACTGGTCCTAGCCTCACCAGAGCAAATAACTTTTGATAGTAGTACAAATAGTAGTAGCTATAGTTTACAGTTTGGGAGGGTATAATGATTTTAGTCTTTTAGTTTATACAGATGTCTTTTATGACTTGTGGTAGTATTGACTGATCAGGTTATACTATAATTTATCCATGTAAGACTGCAAATGATATGATGTACATACATGTACATGTACTTGTGTTATTTCTATGCATTGCTTACTAAGTTTTGTTTTGGGATTTACTTGTATCTCTTATCAGTGCTTGATGTAATTCTATGCTCATCAGATGCATGTTTTGAGTGTATGGTGTTACATGTAATGTAGCCACTGCAAGGTGTGCATAGCATTTAGTAACCATATTACTTTTGAGAATGTTGTGCTCCCGCCCCTTAACTTTATCTAGTTTCTAGTTTTCTCATGGGTGTTACAGTATGTATACTACATACGCCCTATAACACTAGTCCTTATCTAATATCTATTTTGATCAGTGGGTGAGTTTTGGTAGTATGATCCACTATTATGT